TTCTCCAGAACAAACTGTAAAGACACTTGGCACTGAAGTCAATGATAAATAGAGATGTGGCTAGATTCTACCAGTGGGACATGAACAGCTTAACCCAAAGTGAGTCTACAGTAAAAACCAATGCATTTGCATTTCAGCAATTTGATCTAGGGCAAGTCTGTGATACATTACAATGTTGGGATCACATCAAGCTTTCTGGCACTTGTCCAACCACAACATGAGGCTATGGGAACCCCAATGCATGGAGTTCCTTCACTGCTGTTCAGTTGTGCTCACCTCCCAAACCATAAAGCATAATTAAAAGTCATCTGCATACTATGTAATGAAAGTGTAAATGGGAAGCACAACCACATGCTGCCCCCAGCAGAGAGAGAAAGAAATGCCTGGTGAACCATTCCACTCGGCTGCTTCTTGTTTTTCTTGATAGGACACTTCTACCTGTGGCAAGATCCAATTTTGGCTGGAATCTCATCCTTAGACCCAGCTTTCCTGAACACTTTCTGTGGCAGCATCTTCCTTCTCCCACTCGTGTAGTGGCTAATTGTCTGGCTAATTCTTGGAGACAACCCTGTGATGGCCCAGACACTACAGAGGAGAGATAGGCCCTATCCAAATCAGTAATACTGTGTAGACCTGCACAGTGTCCAGAATGTTAACCTGGATACAGGACTTCTCTTCTCTGCAAGCTCTGGAGGGCAACACAGAGAATCAGTGGACTAGTCTCCTGGTTCTAGTACCTCCCTGCTCCCAAATGACCAGTGTGTTTCCTGGTAACCAAAAGCAATGCCCAGAACTAGTAGGAAGGGGAAAAGAAAACCAAGTACAATTTATCTCTGATCACAAAAGTATTCTAACTGGCTCCGAGAAATAAGCTGGTTCTAATTTTAACTGAACAATAGTATCTGGCCCTCATTTTAAAAAAGGCATTTTCATCAAGGATGTGCATTTCACTACTTCAGCACACAAGGGAACATTTGGGAATAAGGCTTAGGGGGTAAGACTTAGTTTTAAGCTTTCTTCAAAAACCCTTTAGCAGCAGGAAAATCCAATGATTTCAGAATTAATTATTTTGATGTCAGTTCTTTCTTCAAGGGTGGAGGAAAAGAGTTGGGGGGATTGGATCCAAGACACAAAAGAAGGAAAGATTGTAAATTTTAATAATATTTTTAGAACTAGCATCCTTAGAGGAAGAACAAAAATATAAAATAAAAATAAAAAACCTTAATGAATTCCTAGTTGAATGCCTCTCCCCAAATGGCGAAAATCTGGAAGGCAGATTTTTTTTTTAAGAGAGGTGGAGTAACTGTCAGAGGTGTGTACTTGCAAAGAAATGGAATTGGGAAGAATACAAAAGTCAGATAGACCTATATGTCTACTACCAAACTATGATTAATTCCTTATACCTTTCTGTAAGCAACAAGTTACAGATAGTTAATTTGTACTGCTCTCACCTATATAAAGGTGTCCAGCCTAGAATCAACTTATAAAGATTCTTTTGTGGTTAAACATAGCTGGAATTTCTGAACTCATTTCATATCACCTTCTCTGGCTCTTTTGAAAGGTGTTTAATGGGAGTTTAGGTATTCCTGGGCAAATTAATTTATAAGAAGCTCAGACATTTTCCAGAAAGAAATGGAGGAACTCTTTTCATAACGCAAGTCATCTCTGCCATATCTAGAAACTCAGTGGCATTTAATTCAAGGGAAAAAAAAAAAAACAAAAAAAACCTCCAAAACTGGAAGGGACCTGAAGGGTTCAATATAGACAGTCTTGCAAAAATTCAAGTGTGGTAAAAGTCATCTCTGCAAAGTGTCTTGCAACATGGCAAGAAAGAACACAGCACCAATTCTGTGGTCATCTTTCAGCAAACAGGTCTCCATGTCTTTTTACCAACTCTGATAGTGGCTTCCTGGAATATTACAGGCAGAATTATGAGGCTCAATTTTGTCTAAAGTCATGATTGATCAAGGAAGTCTCTTCTTTTAATAAGCTGCTCTGGCAATTCACTCATTCATTCATTTATACAGTCAACAAACATTCACTGAATGCCTACCAGCAAATGTTAGTAACTGCAAGTGGTCAGGAAAAAAAGAAAGTCATGAGGTCACATTCACAGTCCTCATAGAGTTCATTAACTAGCAGGAAAGATAGTTTCTATCCAAGTAATCACCAAAACAAATGCAAAAACTGCATCTGTTTCAGTGCAATTAAATGATGTACATGTGCTACAAGAGTGCCAAATTGGGGATTTGACCCAATTGAGAAAGTCCCATAAGGCCTCCCTGAAAAGGTGATGTCGGACTGAGACTGAATTGAACCAGTAGGTGTTAACTAGGTGAGGAAAAGAAGAAAATGTGTTCCAGGCAGAGGGAATTGCATGTACAAGGCAGATAGCATGTTGTTTTGAATTTGTCTTTATCCCACCAGCAAGTGAAGCCAGGGAAGAATTTTCAGCAGTGAGAGCTAGAGCATGATGAGCATATCGTGGGATGTACATTTAGAATATTCATTGGAAGGACTGATGCTGAAGCTGAAACTCCAATACTTTGGCCACCTGAAGTGAAGAACTGACCCCTTGGAAAAGACCCTGATGCTGGGAAAGATTGAAGGCAGGAGGAGAACGGGATGACAGGGGACGAGATGGTTGGATGGCATCACCAACTCGATGGACATGAGTATGTGATGCATTGGGTAGTCGGTTGCTTGTGAGGAAAAAGTGAGATACTGTTTGTAAACTATGTGTACAGAAAACACTTGGTATAGACCTGGCTTGTGGAAATCATACAGTTATTCACACAAAACAGTATTCATTTGGTGCCCACTATGTGTTTGGCAAAGTGAAACAGTTAGGGGATTGCTGAATGAGCTACTCATGTTCAGTCACTGAGACTGCTATGGGCAGAGTCCTGCACAGGACGAGCTCAAAAGGCAGCCTGAACAGGGTAATACCTCTTATGCACCCACCTGCCTCAAAATCCCCAGACCCATGATCTTTCCCTCCCATTGGCCTGGGTATCTCAGATCAATTATGCGGGTGATAACAAGTGAAACCTGGGACTCACTGTCCCTGGGACATCCTCTATGACTGATATCTATGAGGGATGCAAACAAATTTAGTAAGTGCTGTGGGCCTGTTCAGTGCAGGTTGGGAACTGGGGTCTACAACTCCTAACACATCTGCTCACCACTCCCCAAGTGCTTGGGTTTTAGGGGTATGGGGACCAGGAAGGCTTTAGTGCCAACAATTGTCTGCTCTATCTCCCATGGTTCAACAGTATGTTCTCAATGAGCTGTGACTCCAAGGTATGTGAAAAACAACAAAGATGAAATAAAAATCAAACTATCTCTGAGGGCTGGTAGTGATAAAATCTACTAGTAGTAGCAGTGGTTGTAATGGGAGCTCACACATGTTTGGAACATTTGTCTACCAGGCACGTGCAAATCACTTTATATACATTATACCTCACAAACAACCCTCTGAATCGTATTAGCCCAATTTACAGATGAGGAAACTGAAGCTCAGGGAGGTTCAGTATTTTGCTCATCATCACTCAACTAACAAGTGCTGGAATCAAAATTTAACGTATGCAGTGAAACTCCGGATGCCAAATGCAAAATCCACTTAAGGCTGTGTGGCAAAAATGTCTGTTCAAGCATCATGGTGTGTCCAGCTATGAAGCCTAAGCGGCACACCCAACCTCTCTGGACCTCTGGCTCCTTCTCTGTAAAAGCATCAGCTCTTCCTCTTTAGTGGGAGTTGATGAGTTAATGTATATAAAGCCCTTTGACCCACACCTGGCACATGATGGGAGTTTAAAAGTACTAGCAGTCATTATGTGATCAAACATCCTAAGCCTAAGAGCTCTAGGCAGAACTATTCTTTATGAATGGCTGGCTGGAGACCATTCTCAAATGGGTTTCTGGCATCTACTTTAGGTATACAAAGATAAAAGGACCTCAGAATTTCTGGAATATCCATCTGCTTGCAACTCTGAATTGCCTCCTAAACATGGTGGGGTATATGTGGACTCAGATGGGCTATATAAAACCTGAGCTCTATCACTTACAAGCTCTGTATGTTGGGCTGCTTGTTCTGTACTCTGAGTCTCAGTTACGGACCCCAGGAAGAGCAGGTAATCTTGACATATCACAGGGCTGCTGTGAGGACCGTGGGGCAGAGTAAGTCCCCCAGGGACACTGGATTCCCTTCCTGGCACAAAGTAGACTCTCAATAAAAACGGCATGCTTTTATAAGCCAATGACTATTATTTTCAGACTCATTATCATCTGCAACAAGGATACATAAATTGACATTCTTTCTTGCTCTGTAGCCAGTAGGGTGTGGGGAAGAATTTCAAACCTAAGTCAGGGAAAGAAGCCCATCCTCCTCCCTTGCTGCTTCGTTTTCCACAACAGTCCTTCAGACCCTGCTTTTAGCCCATGCAGGAGCCTAACTCTGCATGGCTGGGGTTTCCCAAATGTGCCCCATGATACCCAAAACCAAGCCTGTCGTGAATAATGCAGGCTTTGTACAGTTTACCAGGAGCAGATTGAAGGGCTACACTCAATCCTTCCTGGAATCCAGGAGTGCATTTTCATGATGCTGAGAAAGAAAAAAACAAAAACAGCCTTAAAAAAATACCTTACTGGTAAGAGTATAGAGAGATTTGGGGACGAAAGTATCTAACAGACAAAAAGACAAATGTAATTCAAGGAGCCTGATGGTAAGCCCTCTGCCAATCTTGTCTTTACAGCAGTGCAGCCTGTTTCAGAAAAGCTGCACCTATAAGGTGACCATCAATACTAGAACCATTGGCAAATACATAATAAACGCAATTGCATTACAAATCAAGATATAGTGCTCTGACCTATGGTTCTAGACTCTATGGCCAATGAATACTGGAAATAATCAGAAGAGCTGAAGGTCAAGATGTGATGTAGCTTTTATGCACCCCCAACCCCAATGGTAGGGGCAAGTGTCTCCTCAGCAGCTGACTGACCTGAGACCTTTGGATCATGTACGCATCGTAGCTGGACCCATGGTACTTGGCCGTAATATCTGGACTGTAGCTAGCATCACAAGTGCATGGCATGTTCGAGGTCAGGGGCTGTTTCTTAGGTCTATAAACCTGTGGGAGAAAGCTACAATGGTTATGTGAAGGAGGGGAGGATGAAGGGTGCACAGGGAAGGAACTAGGAGAAAGTAAAGAAGGAGCCCCAACTTGACTTTCTGTGGCCAAGTGGGTGGAAAAACTAGTATAGAAGGGGCACAGCCCCAAACGAAGTGGTCAGATGTAAGTGGCCCCTAACTCCTGGGATCAGCACTAGCAAGGCATGCTGCTCTGTGGAATGACCCCAACACCCACCAGTGACTGGGACCCTCCTTCTGAAGCAGAGGGTACCCAGGCATGGCAATGCTTGTTTACTCGCTCCCTTAGTAAGGCAGCCCTGTGAAAATCAGACTCTGGTTCAGGGCCAAAGGATGTCTTTTCCTTCCTGGGGAGGAAAGGGTTGGCCCAACTGTGACAGGAGGGAGCTTATCTTTTCAGGCATTCAGAGAGCTTCAGAGCCATGGGTGGCCCCAGCTAAGCTGTGACAGCCACATTGTGAGACCACAGAGCACTGAATCATTCTCTGCTGAGTGCGTTTCATAATGAATCTGCAATCTAACTGACTATTTGTAACCGTTGATTCCAAAAGCGCTCAGGTTATATATACATGGAGGAGAAACCACGTCTGAAGATTTCAGAGATGATTTTACAATATGCTTTAGGTATAAATACTTCCATTTAAGCCAATTCCAGGAAGCCACAGAAAAGACACAGTGGCCTAGATGAGGGAAAAATAGGATAATATGGCAAATGAATATTTTAAAAAGTATTTGACTAAATAATGGCTAGAGGGGTCTCCAAGCATAGCCTGGCTATCTCCAAGCTAGGGGCTGGGAGATGGTTCTTGGCCAGAAAGTTTGGGTAGAAATTGTTGAAGAATCAAAGTTGGAAGTATGGCGAAAAAGAAATCAAAAGAACTAGATAATGGGAGTCGTTACTGGGCCCAGAAAGTGAGCAAGACAGAAGGTAACAAGTTCTATGGGAAAGAAGGTGCCTAGAATTTAATTAGTACTTTCTAGGATTTAGTCAGAAGTCATACAAAGTTCAGTGGAAGGAAGACAGCTGAGAGGTATTTCCGGGGAGAAGATGTGAATACTAAAGAAAGGAAACAGCACCGGCTAAGAACCACGCAAGCCCAGGCACATGCACGAAAACAGGAAAGCAAGAAAATGATCCAGCGACAACCTGGACTACTTTTCTCCTACCTGGTTTCACCTGCTTGAGCACGCAGGATGGACACAGCAAAACAAAGAGTTACTAAACCCAGAGAAAGCACTCCAAACTCACAACCCAGCAAAACACACCGGTCATGCAAAAGGCCCCACCTGCTGCTTTAACTGATGCACTAGTCGATCTTTCTCCCGCTTGAGGGCCATGACTTCTTCTTGTGTCTTTTTCTTTTTGGAGGCAGACAGTTCCAGCAAGGCAATGTTCGCATCTTTTTCACTGATTGCCGCAAGAAGTGCTTCCTGTCTGGTAAAATAAAGATATTGTGATGATTTTTATAAAGTGAAAAAAATCAGCATTTATAGTTGAAGTGAGCCATGACATGTTGTCTCAAGGGAAGGAGTTATGGATAGTGATTAAAAACAACTGCTTCCTTGATTCTCAGAAGAATGAACAAAGTAGTTCGTATCAGAATCCCTGAGACCCACACACTGTGTCCTCTGAGACACACCTTTTGATGGCTTCACAGACACAGCTGTATACAAGAAATGGAGAGAGTCAGTCTGCACATTCCTAAGACATCTATCCATTTATCCATCTAGTCATTCAAATACCTGTTGAATCCTTCCATTCGTCTATCCATCCATGTGCCAGGTAAGGTTCTAGATACCCCAAAACAAGTCAATAAAGTTGGGCAGCAAATTCAATATCAAGTATTATTTTTATCATGCAAGATTTTCTTTTGAAAAAGCCATGCAGAGATATTTACTAGGGTCTCCTTTCAATTTTCAGTGAAATTAGTAACACTCCCCTGCCATTCTACCAAGAACCACTCACTTCTCAGTCTTCCTTACCTCAGTAATTTTAACACCAACCACTAAGTAGCCCAAGTCTCTCAATTAGAAGTTATCCTTGACTCCCTTTCTTCCCCATTCACTCAGAGCCAATCCATCAACAATTTCATTAGGTTTTACACCAAAATACATCCGCTATCTCAATTAACTTACTGTTACAAAAGTATCCCACCCACCAGCAACTACTTGTGCAGCTTAACCACTTGCCACCCTGGTACAGAGACCAAAGCAATCTTTAAAACAATATAAATCCAGATTCAACCATTCTGTTGAATGAAAAGTCCATCCCATCACCCACTAAACTTCAAATTCAGATCTTTTACTGATGCCTGCAACTCGTTACACCAACTGGCCCCAAGCATCTCTCTGAGGTCATCTTGTTCTTGCTTTTCCTCCTCAGTCACTAGCCTCTTGCACATTTTGTTCCTGGTCTCTTTTCCAGTCCCTGAAAATATTACACTTGTTCTTACCTCTTAAGTTTGCCTCCACCATTCCCTCTGCCTGGAATACCTTTGCCACAAACAGCACCTTTCATGTTTCAGCTCAAAAAAGCCCTCTCCAGTCACTCCCTAGAGGTGACTTCTCAGCTTCTACCTTGTACCCAAACCACTGGTCTATCATGTTACACTGTTTTTTGTTTTCATAGAACTATTCACTGCTTGAAACAATCTTAAGATATTTACTATTTGTTTGTTTTCCAGACTTGACACTCCATGAATTGGAACCCCGTTTGCTTGTGCACCACCAATTCTCCAGCTTCTAGAAGAGCATAAAGCAGGTGTCAAAAATGTTTGTTCAATAAATAAATAAGTTCAGTTTATACTTCCTAAAAACTTTTAAGACACCACTGGAAAACTCTTCCTCTCACTTAAAAAATTACAGTGCTTTGACTGCTGATTAATTGCTGATCACTGCTCACTTAGAAAAATATCACAGTTGCTTCCTCCCATCTTATAGTCCAATTTTCTGCCAACATCTGTCACAAATTTTAACCTAGAATTTTCTGAGACTATTACTGACTAGGAAATGGCCCTCCTGGTATATTTCATTTAGTCCCCCTTTCCTCTGAGGAGGCCTTGTCTCAACCATTTGTGTCACTTCAGCAATAGTCTAGATAATTTAGAAGACCCTACAGCCCTTGGAAAGCCTCCATATTGAGTACATTTCTCCACACAAGCTCCAGGACTAAAACCTGGTCATGGTCCTGTTTCGCCTTTCTTTAATTCCCATCACCAGACCAGGCCTTCTCCAGATGTTTGGACAGATTGGTCATTATTTGGATCTCAGATTTCTTTTCCTTTTCACTACAGGGATTTGTATAGACTTTTCTGGGCCCTGCTCATGCCAGGCAGAAGGAGCTTCTGTCTGAGGCCCAATCAGACATGTTAGCAGCAGAAATGTTGGGAAATATCTCCACTCTCCAGAAGAAAACCAGGGTAGGCTAGCCTACAAATAACAGCATTAATAGTCAACGTCACAGAGCCTGTCTCTTTCTGGATAACATCTTGAGACAACAGACATGTTGGCCATTCACAGCCACTGCATATTATATATAAGGCCAAGGTAAGGAGGCTGCATAGACTTCAAATCAGGGAGAGCGCAAATGCTATCTATTCCAATTTAGCTACAACACATCCAAGGTGACTGCAACAGTTTTTGCCACTTTGCTCCAAATAGAAATTTCTAAGTGAAACTTCTTAAATGGAAACAACTGAAAAGATTATTATTTGGAAAATTGGGAGTTGATAGTACATTATGCTATATCCCAAAGATTCACCTTTTATAGCTATATGTAGCCATTTAAAATGCTTTTTTAAAAAAATGTAATGATATATGAGAACATGTATGTTTGTTGAGAGACTCCATGAGCCTCATATTTCTGCATATTTTATGAGCAAAGGTGCTACCTTCTGTTCTCACAGGTTTCCAAGGATTGTTTATAGTGACTAGCCTTGAGAGATACACTCAGTGTCCCCCTTACAATCAAAGGCTAAATATACTACTGCCTTGTATAACAGTGTTTCCTTGCAGAGCAAAGGACAGACATCTTACTTCCCTGTCTTCTAAAAGATTCAAGTTCCCTGAACTCAGGGTTACTCTCCTTCAATGCAACCCATTACATATACAGCTATTCGTCTGGCCCTCTTGTCTTGCCTCCAAAGTACTTGGGGAATGGAACGGGTCTTGACATAAATACACTAATGCTTGAGCAATAAAGCCAGTGCCTCTAACCCAAAAGTCTCTCATCCTCTGCCTGCATCCCTGAAACAGAGGCAGGCAAGCCTGTTAGCATGTCAATAAGAAAAATTTCAGACCCTTAACAGCTCTTGTCATGCAAATGTATACACAATATCCCCCAAACAAAAAACATGTTCATTGAAAGAAATGAGAGGGAAAACGCTAAAATGCTAACAGGCATTATCTAACGGTGGTGAAATAGATAGGCTGGTTTTTACCTTTTCTTATACCCATATCTTTCTATGTTATACTTCCCTCCCACAAAATATCGTAAGAATAAACACTAAAAATTGTAAATGAAGCACTTCAGTCACAAAATAAACTGCAGGTACATGCTTCAAATATCTGGCATACCTAAAATTTGCTCATTTTTCCCATCAAGGTACATATGTTCTTTCTGTCCTTTTCATTCTTTATGCACAGGTAGGTGTACACACACATTTTCACACACATAGATATCTGGTAGTCTCATCATCTCCCACTTGGACAATTACAACAATCTCCTAACTAGTCTCTCGATGTCCACTTTCATTCCTATATTCCATGACCCTTTTAAATTCATTTTCCTCTTCTAGGTTAAAATTCAGAATGACATAACTTTAGTAATTGTATAGAAAAAGCAAGAGAGTTCCAGAAAAACATCTATTCCTGCTTTATTGACTATACCAAAATCTTTGACTATGTTGATCACAACAAACTGGAAAATTCTTCAAGAGTTGGGAATACCAGACCACCTGACCTGCCTCCTGAAAATCTGTATGTGGGTCAAGAAGCAACAGTTAGAACTAGACATGGAACAATGGACTGGTTCTAAATTGGGAAAGGAGTACGTCAAGGTTGTATATTGTCAACCTGCTCATTTAACTTATATGCAGAGTACATCATACAAAATGCTGGGCTGGATGAAGCACAAGCTGGAATCAAGATTGCCGGGAGAAATATCAATAACCTGTTACGCAGATGACACCACCCTTATGACAGAAAGCAGAGGAACTAAAAAGCTTCTTGATGAAAGTGAAAGAGGAGAGTGAAAAAGTTGGCTTAAAACTCAGCATTCAGAAAACTAAGATCATGGCATCTGGTCCCATCACTTCATGGCAAACAGACGGGGAAACAATGGGAACAGTGTCAGACTTTATTTTCTTGGGCTCCAAAATCACTGCAGATGGTGACTGCAGCCATGAAATTAAAAGATGTTTGCTCCTTGGAAGAAAAGCTATGACCAACCTAGACAGCATATTAAAAAGCTGAGACATTAGTTTGCTGACAAAGATGTGTCTAGTCAAAGTTACGTTTTTTTCAGTAGTCATGTATGGATGTGAGAGCTGGACCATAAAGAAAGCTGAGTGCTGAAGAATTGATTCTTTTGAACTGTGTCGTTGGAAAAGACTCTTGAGAGTCCCTTGGACTGCTAGGAGATCCAACCAGTCCATCCTAAAAGAAATAAGTCCTGAATATTCATTGGAAGGACTGATATTGAAGCTGAAGTTCCAACACTTTGGCCATCTAATGCAAAGAACTGACTCATTGGAAAAGACCCTGATGCTGGCAAAGATTGAAGGCAGGAAGAGAAGGGGATGAAAGAGGATGAGATGGTTGGATGGCATCACTGACTCAATGGACATGAGTTTGAGCAAGCTCTGGAAGTTGGTGACGGACAGGAAAGCCTGGCATGCTGCAGTCCATGGGATTGCAAAGAGTCAGACATGACTGAGTGACTAAACTGACTGAAAAGTTATCATCAACCTAAAGAATGACCCCTCTAAACTCCTTTTCTTCTACAGTTCTATAACTTGGGCTTTTCACGTATTTAACATGTATTGCTATTCTTATAATACATCAGAAGTCCCAGCAAATTAATTTCTAATTCCCAGTTTTCTCTCAATAGAAAATATATTAATTCTTAAATCTCTACAGATGTTGTCACTAAATAGAGCCTCAAATCTAATAATTCTTAATTAGTAAACCTCAAAATAAATTTAAAATCATTTTTATAAAAGTGTATTTAAAACTACTCACCAATACTAATATCCAAACAAAATAACAACTTCGTTCTTCATATACTTGTCCTTATTGTATTATTTTTGTTTCCTCTTGGCTAAGAAATCTTTTTATAAGTACTAGTATTATGCAATGATAGAAGTCTGAATAAAATTAATGCAACAATGATTATACATATTCAGAAACCCTCATTTAAAGACTTGCCTTAAACTA